AAATTTCCGTTAGTTAATCTCATTGCAGTTTCGTATCAATCCAACTGTTGAGCTTTGCAGCAAATTCATGATTGAGAAAGAGCCATGGAAGAATATACCTTCCCCCCTGCTTCGTGCACACATATAATACCAACAACGTGATCCCATGCCTATAAATTGCGACGAGTTGAAGTTAGTAATACTGATGTAGTTTCTATAGTCTATTGACAACTGGAATGAAATGCAATACCTTGGTAACTCTGTGAACTTTCACACGCTGCATATGAAGAGATACCACGCCCGAAGCCACCATCATATACTTGGATAAACTGCAGGCCGAAAAGAAGAAAGGTATAAACCCAGTAAGCATTGACGAAGAATATTGACGTTATTCATAATAGATATATTTGCAAAAGAGGGACTGTTAACCTTATTCTAATACATCAAGCTACACAACATAAAAATAAACTTTCTATTGCAAACTTGAGAATCCAGGACTATCCTAGAAAAGAGTTGGATTCAGTGATAAAGTCATGAAAACTCTACATTCTGTAAAAACTATGTCAAAAAATCTGAAAGGTTCTACTTTTTAGGAGCAGCAGTCCAGTAGGAAAACAACAAACCTTCCACAACAAGATTTTACAAGAAGAATTTCGCCCTCGTCAATGCTATCAGCGTTAGTTGATCTGAATAAAGATGATAGCGGAAATGACTCCCATACATCACTATCTGGGATAGAAAATCGTGCCTCTTCCATGATACAAGACCCATCAACAAAGCATTGAGTCCAAGAATAAGGCATTTTGGCTGTGGAATTTAGCACAGATGATAAACGTTTTGTCCATGTTCCACAGCCTGTATGAGCAACCATAATAATCCCTGATCCAGGTGGACTGATATTTTCTTCCTGGACTTCAGAGGTGGATTTGTTGGATATATCATTCTTCCAGTTTGGGCACCCCATGACACCCAATACAAGCTCCCCGTCAACAACAAGTGCCAAGCCAACCTGAAAATTTGAGCCATTTAATAGGCAACTCTTATAGTAGAAAGCAATCCAGTAAAACAGGACCGAATATCTAGAAAAAACACAGCTTGAATCATTTCTTTCCGCAACACATGAAAGTGCTATTACTATGTTCATTTGACACCATAGGCCTGCCTTTGTTAGATAAGAAAGCAGCATAACAACCAGAGTTACTTGAAAGGATATCCTTGAAGATTGCTTTTCAATCGGACCACTAAGATATTAAGTAATCTCAGAGTCCTCCACCATACGAAAACTAGAATTAAATAGATTTGTAAGAAGATAACTGGGTATAATATATCTGAAGTTCCTATTTAATTGGGTTAAGGTTCCCTCTTTTTATCTTTGCTTCTTAGTTGGTACTTGCGTAGTGTAGATTTCGCGTCTTGTGCATATATCTGATTCTATTCACAACCAAATTACACAATTTTGTGTCGATTTCTTGCATTCGCTTTGGAAGCACAAACTGTTGAGTGAGTATAATTTCAGTAGTGTCGACTTAACAGCACTTGACAAGCTTAGATATAAAAATAGTAATAGGCATCATTTAACATCTCATATGACACAATTATATAACTACAACTTGACGACCGATGAACAAATTTACCGTAAAACATCCATGTTGTATTCCATAGCAAAGTCAACTACAGGTGCCATCATATTCAAAACTTACTGTAATGACCAAATATCCGAAAAGCGAAAGATAGAAACTCAATGCAACTTTTTCTAAGTCAGTAAGACATACCACATATAACGCCGGATTTCCCTTCACGAATCCTTTTGTGCCATCAATGGGGTCAAGTACCTGCATTACATTTCTCAATTCAGTACAATGCAGCAAAGTAAAAATCCAACTGCGACCACCATGAATTAAAGCATGATAACCAAATAGCAAAAGGGTCACATACAAAGCTGCACATCTTGGGAACGTTTAATTCAATCATATAATGCAAATGCAAATCCGAAAACGAACCCAATACGTGGCGGGCTGAGCTCCGAAAGCAAGACCCTCCGGACCACCTCTGTCAATGGCTTCCAATACTTCATCAGCCGTCCATGGGTTCTCTGCACAACTAGATTTGTCAAGCACCGCATTGAGCACTGGCTCCACCAGTTTATTCGAACGAACAAACGCCGAGTCCTCTTCCGCCACCAATGGAATCAAAGGGAATCGTTTCCCAAGCTCTGCAACCACCACACGGTCCACACCAGCTCCATTTACAGAACTCGAAAACTAAATACAAATAATAAAAGGACTTGCTTTAAAAAAAATAGAATTAAAGGACTAATTAGCAATTTTACCCAAACTGACGAGAGCCTGGACTCCAAAATCCGCCACCGTCACCGGAGTCTGGTCGGTCTTTTCAACGACCCGCCGTTGAAGCACCGACGACTGGATGTCAACGCAGAGCGCGCAAGCTCTCTCCACGGCATCGACGGCAGCTTCCAGCTCTCGATAGTAGTTGGCCTTTTCAGTTCCGAACGGCAAACTCGACCTCACGCGGAAGCGCCGCCGGCGGAGTGCCGAATCGGGCCGAGTGAATCGGACGGTCGAAAAATGGCGGGCTGAGTGCACAAAAATCATGGCGAATTTTAACCGCCGGCTGTAAATGAGTCGTTGAAATCTCGTTGGTGGAGACTGCAGTGTGACAGTGGGCTAGAAATTGGGCCTTGTAAGTTCTGTTAAGAAAAAATATTGGGCCGAGTCGAAATTTCATAGGCCCAAAATCTAATGTTGTGCAGTCCTGCCCAATTATGAGTACAAAGTTTGGTAAAATCCGGAAGACAAACTAGCGAAAATTCGAGAATCCTCAACGGATATTTAATCATATCTATTTATCGTATATCATGCAGTTAGTTTTTATCAGGTATCATTTATATTTAATTTATAATAAATAAAAATTTACAATAATTTTTTACCATAAAATGTACGATAAACGGATGTGATTGGATGATTTTCTTTTTCAAGATGATAACAAAGAGGATCTGACAAGGATCCTGAAAATTCTCTTAGAGAAAATCCTACCTAGATATTGGGCCGTCGAAATTTAATAGGCCCAAAATCTAATGTTATGCAGTCCAGCCCAATTATGAGACTACAAAGTTTGGTAAAATCCGGAAGACAAACTTGCGAAAATTCGAGAATCCTCGACGGATCCTTTAATCATATCCATCGTATATCGTGCAGTTAATTTTTATCAGATATTATTTATATTCAATTTTATATAAAAACAAAATTACAATAATTTCTGACCGTAAAATATATAATAAACGGATATAATTGAATGATTTTCTTTTTCAAGATAATCACAAAGAGGATCTGACAAGGATCTGAAAGTCCTCTTAGAGAAAATCCTCCTAGATATTCTTGTCCTTATCCAAAACATTTGAGCTCATCCTCAGACACGTGTCCGTCGCACAATGAATCAGGCACCGCGGACCCCAGTTTTCCTTGGCAAAGTCCGCTGTGATAAAGACATCGCAGCCGTCCGCTGGCCACATCTCAGCGGTCAACAAACCACAGATTTCCAAAACTTGGGATTCATCTTCTACTTTCTCTCTCTATAAATGCAAGTAAATTATTGAACTCGCAGCTAATTTGATTTGCAACTGCAACCCTTCTGATCTTCTGAAAAAATTGTGATCTGGGTGATGAGCTTGAGGTACGCGAGCAGAGTGGTGTACCAGGCAGCTCTGAGGGCGATGCAGGGGATCAAAGACCAGGCTCCAAAGTGTGGCGATTCGACCGTTAAGTCCGCGAGGGATTCGAGCCAGGCGTGGCGGTTATCGGCGTCGCTGGATTCGGGTGGCGGTTTGAAGGGGGCCGGGAAGAGTAGTGAGAGGGTTAAGGAAGCGGAGGAGTCGCTCAGGACAGTGATGTTCTTGAGCTGTTGGGCTCCCAATTGATGATCTCTGCATGCGTTTTTATTTTTGTAAAATTTTTTAGAGGCGAAATGTGTGAGTTGATTTTGTGTAGGTTATATATAGGTGTATGTATGTATTTATGTATGTTATAATGTTAATGTATGTACATGAATTCTTTGGATCCAGAGCTTGATTTATTTTTCCTGGATTTGTATATCGATCTTACTTTTGTATAGTAGCACGTAACGTTTTTAGAATTTAAAAATATTTTTTAAAATGTTTTTAATTATTTTAAAAGTATTTTTAAACGAACGATCAATATATACATGAAAAATAATTCTGTATCTCATTTAATTTTAATCCAATTGCTTCGATGCCAATGAATGACATGGATGAAAAGTTCAAACATTGAGAAGTGGTTTTCACACATTTTTTTTAGTTTTTTGCGTTAAGAAAGATGTGTGAAAATTAATTTCCATTTGATTAACTTGGTCTCGTTTGCTTTCTAAAATTGGATCATATATAAGATATAAGCTAAAATAAATGTAGAATCTAATGATTTTTGAGAAATTAATCATTCTAATTATATCATTTGAGTGTGTATGAATAAAAGGGGAAAGTGATCATTTTCGAATCCCTTCCATTTAATCATTCTCATCAAACAATTCGGACCTCTAAAATTTGATCTAACGGCTAAAGTTATTATAACTTTTAGAGTGGACCCTGTTTTTAGCCATTGGATCAAATTTTAAGGGTCCGAATTGTTTGATGAGGAGGATTAGGTGGAAGGAATCCGGATATAATCTTTTTCCAATAAAAGGTGGTGCTGCTATCCATAAATTCATTTTTACTTTTCACATAGGTTCTTAATTTCTCGTCATCGGATCTAATAAATTGAAGAAAATCAATGAACAATAATTAGTAAAGGGGTGTGAGAGTTAGCAAAAGTGTGTGAATAGCCTTACGCCAAAAAACACAATGGGCTTATTTATAAAAGAGAGATGTCACTTCTATTCATTTTGACCCAGTCCAAACCTATAGTCCATTCGTGCCACATGATCCAGTTAAAGCCCAATCTAATCTGGCAATCCAAATCCCAAAATCTCCCTCTCTCTCTCTTCAGCCTCCACCACAAATAATAAACCTTGAGAACAAAACCGATAAGCTTTTTCTTCTTCTCTCTCGTTCGCCACTGCAACCACATTTACCTCCAAAACCAGACCAAAACTCTTGGTCGAAACCATGTTCTCGCTGAAGCCTTGTAAAAGCCGTTGCAACTCACCCTTCCTCTCCAACCCACGTCGTCTTCAAAACCTAGCAAAACCGCAAAGTACCATTTTCTCCCCATGCAGGGTATTGTCTCCCCATGAAAGAAGACTTGGCGTGAGGGCAAATAGTGGAAAAGGAGAAGCAGAGAAGAAGGAAAGACGACCTTTCTTAACCCTAGAAGAAGCTGGTCTGGTAGAAATCTCCGGTCTCAGCACTCACGAAAGATTTCTATGTCGTTTAACGGTACTATTTTCTTTTGTTACATTTTCCACTTCTTTATGTTCCGCAACGATTTTCACATTTCACTTTGATACATCTGTACGTTAAATTTAACGTTTTAAAAGTTTATATTCAAATCTCGTAGATGACAAGTTTAATTGTGTACGTAGATATCGTCGTTGAATTTGCTGAGAGTGATATCAGAACAAGAAGGATGCGAAATTGAGGAGCTAAATGCTGGGAAGGTATGTGACTGGTTTGTGAAGGATAAGTTGAAAAGAGAGCAGAACTTGGACTCTGCTGTCCTCCAGTGGGATGATTCTGAGCTATTTTAATTATTTAAGTACTTAATTATTTGATTAACTTGTAAGATGGTATATTTATAATATTTGATACCATGAGCCAAAGATTTTGTGAAACTACATTCAGTTTTTAATTTACCTCTTTCGACTGAATTAGGGGTGGGATATTGTAGAATTATGACTCATCGAATTGATGTCTGAAAAATATTAGGATATAGGTTGAGTTATGTTAACCCCTATTTAGGTATAATCTTACACTCATTACAATTGGAAATTACATTCGGATATTACTGTTAGACCGAGTCAATCTTATCAGAAACTCAGCTCCGAAACAAACTCTTCATAGGATAAGATTGCTAGGTCAGGTTTTAGTTTGAATAGTTCAAAGATAAGGCTGTTGTGATTTTGTATTTTGAATTCAAAGATCTCTGTGTAAATAGGGTATTCAAAACCCTACTTGTAATATGAAATTGATGTGTATAAATATACTGCAACCCATCATTATACGGGTATGCAACTGAGTTGAAAACCCTAGTATTCTAAAGCTTTTACATTTACATGTTATGATTGTAGAGATGATTCCGAATTAATTAAGTCTAATCTTACACACATCTCAATGGACGAGTTGGATCAGACAAATTTGGAACAAAGGAGCCCATGACGAGGCTGATGAAGAGCTCCAGTGAGCATGATGAACCAGATTAGTATCAGGATAATTGACACTCAAATTATCACAATGCAATAAAATAGGAGTAGACAAGCGGACACCAAGCTCACCAGGAAGGAAGCAAGCCCAAGTGGTCTCAACACAACCATGAGCAAGGGTGTGATATTTAGACTCAGCACTAGAGCGAGAATGGTTCTAAACTACAATTAATTTGGCTTCGTTCAATTTTATTTTTATGCAAACGACTAAAACAAACCGAACTAAACCAAACTGCATCATATATAATGCTTTTGTCACGCTTTGGACGTTGGGGAGCAAAATGTATTTAGCTCATTTTGATAGCATATTCACGGTTTTTGTTTTAGTTATATTTTTTAAGGAGTTGTGTTATCTAGACATTTCTTTTTAACCCCACACATCATTTTTAATTTTTAACCGTCAAATTTAATTTGAAAAATGGATTGTTCAACGCGTATTTGGTATGGAATGTATGACCTTTGAGTCTTATATTATTATTTGTTTTGGGCTTTAGTGGGTGGAATGTTACTACTTATGCATTGCATTCTATGCTATTAATTGAACACGACGCCTCCAATTAGGCCTTGATTGACTGCAAAAGTAAATAAAAATACTAAAAAAAATAGAATAATTAATCATATATTCAAAGTCCAAATTATTATTACGTCTTCTTGGAAAAAAAATAGAGAAAACTGCTATGATTTAGAAAAATAACTTATATAACACTGGTAATACAAATAAATGTTCTTGTATTATTGGTATGGAGCAACGTAATGGTATACCTTGTTATGCAAATTATGCTTCTGATATGACGTGGTGAAAATGATCGTATCACGATAGTTTTTCTCGTGCTCACAACCTATATTGGATTTAACTATGCATTCAAGAATTTTGTAAAACAACTAAGAATTTGATGAATACAACAACTCCACTAAGAAACTCAAGTCACAAGATGAGGTTTTCAATGGGGCAGTTCGACCATGTTCTTCGTATGATAACTCAAAAGACAATATAACATGGGTGTGATAGTGATCACAAGAATGAAGCAGTCAAATCTTCTCCCCTAAAATCATTACAATGACGGTGTCTCAAATCAACAACGTGTCTCATGATTTTTCATATCTAATAATGTTTTATTAATTTGTAATCAACAACCGTAATTACACGACATTTTAGCCAACAGGATCCTCTTCGAATTTTTTTGGTGAAGATGCTAGAGTTCTGTAAATCATGTCCGTTCATTGTACATGATTCACGGATCTCCGAATATTTTTTATTTATAACCGTACGATGTACGAACATTCACGAATTTTCAAAATCCTCACAAAGAGGATCCGACGAGAATCCGAATTCACATTTTAGGTTTATCTCCACTCGGCACCTGGTTTACACAAAGTCAACTCAACAACCATTCACGTCAACCCATTGGTTCACTTTAACAGAAAGCTAAAAAGCATTCTATGCTGTGTGCGACGTCGTTTTAATGGCGTTGAAGTAGAAAAGCTACAGAAGGAGGAGGGGGAGGAAGGACGCCACAAAGGTAAGCACAACAAGGTCGGACGTGAACTGAATCGGTCAAATCCAATTGAATCCTCTCCGTCAGTTCCGATTTGCTGCGCCGAGACCTACAGACATACGACGCCGTTTCGCCTCTGTCTAATGCTCTGAGAGATGGCCATCCCTGACCAAAAGTCGTCGTCGTCTTCGTCCGACGGAAAAGTCTGGGGCTTCTTCAAGCGGCCGTTTCGGACGTCCGGGAACGCCGCCGTTACGACGTCGTCCTCGTCGTCGCACAACGCTCCCCACCAGCATAGTAACGCTCACGGCGACGGATCGAATCAAAACGCCGCGAATTCGGTGTCGTCCGTCGCCAGGTCGCTGCTTCCGACTCGCCGTAGGCTCAAGCTCGATCCCCACAATAAACTCTATTTTCCTTGTACGTCTCTGTCCAATTATCCATTTTATTAATTTAATTTAATTAGTTTTATTCCATATTTGGTATTTTATGATTTAATTGCGTTTACCTGAAATAGCTGTGTGTAGATTGTGATTAATTGTTGTGGATTTATAGAATTGCTTTTGAATTTTAGATTTTGTTGCTGGTTTTAGGATCAAGGAAACTGTAAAAATGCATTTGCAAGTTGCAATTCGTGTTATTATGCTAATCACGTCGGTAATCCGGTGATTAATATTGTTTTTATGGATGCAATCGATGATTTTCGTGATGCTGTCGCGATTTTTCGAATGAGTTAGTGGCTATAGAGGGAAATCAAATTGGTTAGCTGATTTATTTCGGTGTTGGGTTTGTTGCTTGATGATTTATTTGCTTATTTATGTGTATGGACTCTGTTTCTTGAAGGTGAACCCGGGAAGCAGGTTAGGAGTGCCATTAGAATTAAAAACACCAGCAAATCCTTTGTAGCATTCAAGGTACCGTCTCATGTTTGCGGTTTTACTTCTGTTCTGTGGTTTCTCGGAATTTTTGTAATTTGAGAATGCTTGGTGAAGAATAATGTGGTTGACGTTGTTAGAGTTTCTTATCTTGATTGATTTTTTCTAACGAGTTTTCTTGCTTCAGTTCCAAACAACTGCACCGAAAAGTTGTTTCATGCGTCCTCCAGGAGCCATTCTTAGTCCTGGCGAGAGTCTTATAGCGACTGGTAATGGTTTCTGTATAACTTCCTGCAATTCAGTTCATTTCCCTTTATTTTATAGTGTTGGAAATGGTATTGCCCTTTTGTACGGTCTTCTGTTCTTCGTTAATGGAATTGTCTCTTATAAAATTAGAAGTACCATCGTTTTTATGTGGATAGTTTCTTCTCAAGCTTTAACTTGTTTTGGCCTTTTAACAAGTTTTTTTTGTTATTTTGGTTTGTTACGGTAGTATTCAAGTTTGTTGAGGTTCCCGAGAACAATGAAAAACTAGTGGATCAAAAGAGCAGAGTTAAGTTTAAAATCATGAGCTTGAAGGTGAAGGGACCAATGGAGTATGTACCTGAGCTGGTACGTAAATAGCATGCAACCTTTAAATGCTATCTCGAGTTATAAATTTCTAATTTAGTAGCTGGTCTTATAAATGTGTTCACTGGTAAATTTCTTGGTAAAAGTTTGATGAGCAAAAGGAGCAAGTGGCCGTAGAGCAGATACTACGGGTTGTCTTTCTAGATCCAGAGCGTTCTACTCCTGTAAGTGTGGTTGACATGAAATTAACTTGAGGTCAATATTTCTGTTTGTAAATGTATATCACGGATCTGCATTGCTTTCGCTTCACATTTATGTTAAGAGATTAATACTTTTTTGTTTCCTCAAAGGCTATGGAAAAACTGAAGCGTCAGTTAGCTGATGCTGATGCTGCGCTTGAGGCGAGCAAGCAACCTGCGGAAGATGCTGGTCCAAAGATTATCGGAGAAGGACTTGTCATAGATGAATGGGTGAGTGCATTGTTCTTTTGTCACACGAAAATTGCTTGTGCAGATAATACCTTCTTATGCGCTTCATTCATTTCCGCCCTTTGTGTCTTGTTTAGAAGGAGAGGAGGGAAAGATATCTTGCTCGGCAGCAAGGTGAAGGCGTGGACTCTGCATGAGCATTTGTTTCGCGCGGCTTTTTCTGATGCGAGTGCGAATCAACAGTCTACTTCGGTGTATCATTTGTAACCATCGTTTATTTTTATCTTTCGGTCATGTGAAGAACGTTGTATTGAAAATGAAAAGAAGAAAAAAAAGGACGAGGACGAGGACGAGGACAGTCCGATGTTATATACATTGATGTAAAAAAGAAAACATCTTGAAGTGGTCTCTTTGTAATTTTCGCGAAATGTTTTCGGCATTGATTTTCGCAAAATGTTTTACGTGAGCATTAAGGAATAATTAGCGGGAAATAAAAATTACAATTTGAAGTGGAGTCTCTTACATTTCTTGTGAAAAATGGAACCCTTTGATTTTCACAAAATGTTTTATGTGAGCATTAAATATTACTAGACCGCAGTTAGATCTGGCATTTTGGATTCGACGCGTTAATATTAGTATTTGGATGGATGTTTAACGTTAGACTTGGCATTTTGGACCCGATCCGTTAATATTAGTATTTGGATGGATGCTTAACGGGTCGAGTCGCTAACGAGTGAACCAGTTAACAACCCGTTAAATAACGTGTCATTTTGGGTCAACCCGTTAGACCTGTTAGTTGATGATGTTTTATTAATTTCAGTAAAGTTTTAACAACAAAAAATAAACTTTATGCAAAATAATAATAATAATAATAATAATAATAATTGTTAACGGGTTAAACGGATGACCTGTTAGCTTAACGGGTTGGGTTCGGGTGACCCATTAGCTTAACGAGTCGGGTTCGGATGATCCGTTAACTTAACAAGTCGGATTGAACCAAACCCAAATCGGATCCGTTTACAGGTCTAACCACAGTATAAGTAGCTGAGATTACTTGTCGTAACGCTGACTGACCAAACACAAGATGTATATGGTAGAACTATACGTTTGGCCACACTACACGTTTATGGCCAAGAAGCTTCGGCGACCACCAAATTCATAATAATAACAGGATAGCGTTAAACATGCCTATTTTTACTGACAAATGAATTGAAGAAGATTAATGATAAAAAATTAACAAGATGTGTCAGATGTAAAAATGAATGTGTGAATAACGTTATGCTGAAAACAAGACATCATGGGCCAATGGTAACAATAGAAACCACGGCTTCCTACCAATGGTTTTTAGTTTTAAGGGTTATCCAAAACCACGAAGCCCCATTCCTTCTAATACAGTGTGCCAACGAAGCCCCATTCCTTCTAATACAGTGTGCCAAGCTC